AGGCAGTGTTGAAGCTGCAGGGTGTTTCACACAACAGCACTGTATCCCTTTCACAAACAGGCTAGTCAAGAACCAGCTCTAAGGGAAAACATGCCAGTGCAACTGTAAAGAATTTGAGTCTTCAGAAGAGATCCAGTGAGACAATCCTCAGCTGAGGATTAGCTGAGGGTTCTATCTGCACCAGCACAGCAACATTTCTGTGGCTGTGACAGGTATGAAAAAGGTTTTGGCAGCCTGGGGTTGTTAATTTAACATTTGCAAAGCCAAGAGTGGGGAAAGAAACATACAACACAATGACATTTATTATTAAAACCCACAGCAATGTATTTGATTTTGGGGGAGTTGCCCTTCATCCTCCTGTCATTTGTTCCTTACCCTTGTTGGTTCCTCTTTCCACAGTCACATGTTCCCCTCTAGCTCAAGGACATGATTTTCAGGACAAGTTACAGCTATGCTGCTGATTTTACATTCATTAGACCGTGCTCTGTTTCTGGTATTATTCTGCCTCTTACCGTCGCCACAGAGCTCCCTGCCACACAGAGGACCTATTGTTTGCAGTAATGACCTTGGCTTGTGGGACATGGCAGCTGGTTTTGAGGGAAATCCTTTTGGTAGGAACAGGATTTGAGGGGGGAAATGCCAACAGTTAGAACCTACCTAAGATCATGGTCTTTTGGGCAACAGCGCCCACTGTGGCAATACATTTGTGCCTCTCTGTTTTCTTCCCAATGTTTTTCCACACCTATCATTCCTACTGGCCTCAAATGTTTCCTCCAAGAAGGAAACCAGAAACTGAGCAATCTTTTTTCCTCCCTTCCTTTTAAATGTGTGTTCTCAGCACGTGTTCCAGACTGGGTGCTCCCAGGACACTTCAGTATTGCTTCACTTTGTGGATCTTGGAGGGACAGAGGAAGAAGTCAGCTGCTCAAACTACAGCAGAACTGAAGGCATTCTAAAACATTCCCGAGCAAACAACAACATAAACAGTTTTAAGGTCAAACACAGACACCTGGGGTGCCAGCGCATCTTGAGGGCTAGTTTGCTGCTGGGCAATGGCTTTCTGCATTGTCCTTCTGGAACTTCAGCTTCTGAAGCAAGAGGTGAGTTGGCTTTGGAGCAGAAGTCCAATTTTTGGCTGTGTCTCTGTGCATGGTTTACTTCAGTCATCAATACTGTTTGAATGAGAGTCCTCTATTGACTATTTATAGTTCTAAACAAGGAAAACAAATACTGTCTCTTCAGATGAGCTGCCAATGTCTCTGTAATTCCCACAGTTGTAGTGCTATGATTGGAATTCAGTGCCAGATGCATGGATTCCTCAGACAAACAGCTTTCTGGCAGGAGAGAGGAAGATCTGGCTCCAGCAAGCCTGTTTATGTCAAAAGTTGCCATGTTACTGTCTATCATTACCTGTATCGCTTTGAGGAGTCAGAGAAGCTAGACGCCAACTACTGGATAAAAATAGAGATGGCAAACACCTTCACACATACACCTAGTTAATCCCATTGTAACCACTAAGTGACCCTGAAAGGGTAGCTATAGGCAAACATTTTTGTTTAGCTACCCCATGGTAAAAGGTTCCTTTATACTGATTTTTTCTTGCTGCTGCAGATGGAGATGGTGCCCCTCGCACTCCTGACAAGGCGCAGAAAGAGATGTATGTATGTGTGTGAGATCCCCACTGGATGGTGCTGGCCAGAGAAAATCAGATTCTTTCCTGGAGCAGAGATTTTGTGGACAGCTGCTAGCAGAAAGGTTGGCTTCAGAGCCCAGATCCTGGAAATCACCAGTGAGAGAACAGGAGACTCCTCAGGAATTAGGAAGAGTAAGCCAAAAGTGGACAGGCCAAATCAGGTCAAGGAGGAGAGGGTTAAAGTGAAAGCAGAGAAAGGCATCAGCTTTCAGGGGTAGATTGATTCCCCTCCCACTTGTGTTTCACCCTCCCCCAGCCTCCAAGCAGCTGGAAAGGATTCTGCATTTTAGCCGGTAAGAAATAACAGCAGGTCACTTGCTGAAGCTCTGGGAAAGCTGACCTTCTGTTTGTTTGCTTGACCTTTTCCTTCGAGGAACTTGATGCACACATGCATGCTGTGAAAGCCAGCCTCTGGCCTGTCCCCACCAGTCCCCCATCCTGGCTGGAAGAGAAGGACACACTGAACCCTGCTCACCATCCATGAGCACAGGGAAGCACCAGCCCCATTCAGTCTACTGTATCCCCCCCATTCCAGTCTCACATGGAGAAGAATGACAACTCCCACTGACTTTTCAGTTGCCTCACCTACCAGTGATTCCTGTAGAGCCCTTCCTCAGTGCTACTCCTGACACCTTTTCCTAGCTGACACCACCCTTTGTAGAAAAGACCCAGAAACTATGATAGCTTTTAACCCCCAGCACGGTTGAAGGCACTACTGAATGTAGGGGCTCCAGCTGGCAGTTTACCTTGAAGGCATGCGGTGTTAAAAGCAACTTGCAGGCTGAGGTTTGGCTGCAGCCTGCCTGTAGTGTGCTCCAACGGGACTTTCCAGGGGGAGTTACTGGCCCCACAGCAGCCGGCCTGCCCGGGCAATCCTCACCTCCTGACCAGCCCCATCCTGCCTCTCCCAGGCCACTTCTTACTCAGCCCCTCTTGCTAAGGGCCAGCAGCACTCCCTGCCAGACCACCTGGCCCTGGAGCAGCCCCAGGCCCTGAGCCCACCAGGAACTCCCTGCCCAGGCTTCCTCAAGCAAAGCTGCACTCAGGCCCTGCTGTGCAAAGTCCTCATCTCTTCTGGCAGTCTGCCCCCTTCACTGGTGTTTCTTACGTCTAGACCCGTTTGGCAGTTGCTACTTTCTGTTTTAATAGGCTCCTGCTGGCTGAGCCCGTGGACACAAAGGTGACCGAAGCACTTACCTGGCACTACAGCATGCTCCCAGTGAAAAGAAGAGGGATTCAAACAGGATATTTGACCAGGCACTACTGAAGCTAAGATTTGTCAATTTGTAATTTTAACACTGTGTGGAAAGTTTGTTGTTTAAAACTGTATACAGGAAATCTGAGCTGTAATTCTCCTCCGTCTTTGATCAACATGCCAGCGTGCTGCTGTGAAGTGAAATAGTGCAGTCTGGCAGATGAGAGAATTTTCCCCCAAGGGCATTCCCTGAGGAACACAACAGTGCTGATTTAGCAAGGAAATAAAACTTGAAATATATGACTGCTGCTGTGAACATGCTTTTGAGGCACTTGGGAAGAAATAAAAATAATCCAAAAATACAGAAGCCTTCATGTTACAGTTCTTTAGCATTTTAACTACAAAGGCAGCCTGTGTAGTCCCTCACAGGTTGGGCTGTCAGTAAACAGAGATCCTGTTGGAGGGAAGGGAGGATGAAAGCCAGGCAAATACTGGTGGAGCATGGGTGTAGTTACTGCTTAATCCCAATGTGTTCGTTAATGACACACATAACAGTGGTTTACCCAGCAAGTCATGCTGCCTCTCAAGGCACGTTTTTCCCCATTTAGGTACTTGTGGCGAAATCTTGAGACTACAGCCTTCTAAAACAACATTGCACACATTCAATGGGATTACAGCAGCTGCAGTCCAACTTGGAGCATAAAGCAGAATGGAATTGTCTGTGAGTTTTCCTGCCAAGTTGTACTAGCTTTGGGTAGCAAACCCTAGTACAGGAGCTGACTTCACTACAAGTACCCAGTGTGCACCAAATGAAGCTCTGTGGTCAGTTCTCCCACTCTTGAGGAAGAAGCATAAAGGACACAAACTCCAGTTGTTCCCACACCCTATTCTGTTGTTTTTTTAATTTCGGGGTTTTGCTTTTTTTCCCCACTGCCATCCATTACAACACTCAAAGCCTCTCAGGAGACAGAGTAGCACTTTAGCAAGCAAGACCTGACCTTTCCTGCAGTATGGCTACGTGGCATGTGGAGTTCAAGATTTCCTGTTGTTCCCTTTATTCTTCACAGCACTTGGCAGCTCACGTGAACTGGACAGTACTTCTTGTAAGGAACACTTGTGGCGGAACTGCAAACGTTGAGCAACACATAATCACAGCAGTTTTGGATGGCTAAGCAAAACTTTTCTAGCATTTCACATTTCAGACAATGCCTCTGAAGGAAGTGTCTGTGAACAAATCAAACCTATTATTACATTGTTTTGCATCCTATCTGATCTTGCATATAAACCAAGTGAGGCTTTCAGTGGTCTGCAGTGTTTGGAAGAGGTTACCTGCTACTCAGTTCTCAGAATGGGCAACAGCATTTTGTTAAAGGTGCACTGGCTGTGGAGTGTACCAATGCACCAACATCATACCTTCCCTGGGAAAAGCCATTAGCCTCTGCTTGTGCTCCCTGCCCTCTTCCACTGGTACAGAACTGGGCTCCCAGCAGTCTCACAACCACACACACCAGCCTCTTGTCTGGACCTGCATCTTCCCACTTCTGCCCAATCCCCTGCACAGCACTTAAACTAGGCAGAATATGCTTACAGAAGTCACAGCTTTGCCTGAGTTCTGCTGATGCCATATAACCTGTCAAACCCCACCTTGATTAGAGTTCTAACTCCTGGAGTTGTTTTTATTAGAAATGTCAAATTACAGAGCCAATTTAATTACAAGGACCCAGAGTTAATGCTTGCGCCTATTTTAACAACTTGGTCTTCTTGAATGCTTTAAATCAGATGCCTGTATTAGCATCTAGTTGTATTAATTTACAACCCATTTCAGCCAGCTGCCCTAGGATGATGGATTAGAATTGCTAACTTGATTCTGTTAGCACAGAACAAAATAATCTCAGGAGGTGAGGGAGGTTTGCTTTACCACTGTTGTACACCAGCACAATAGCTGGCTATGGGCTTCTCTGAAGAGAGATGCACCTAAGGAAATTTCATTGCCTCTTAAAAGCACAACACAACATTCAAGACCATAAACATGAAAATATTTCATACTGTATTTTAAACTCAGTAATGCCTCAAGATGAATTTCAGGACAAAATAAAAGTCTTATCACTACCACAAAGTAGATCTTTTTTTTTAAAGTCCTTTATTAATCTGAATATAAAAAGACAGAAGCTGCCTACAATATAGGACAAAGCTCTTGCTTTATGAGGAAACAAAATTTTCTTTACAAAGTGAAAAAATAAATACCCTTTTAGAGTAAGGTTTATATGCTAATGTGTCGTAAAAAAGTAGAGTTTTAATATTCTGACAAAATGTCTGTGCAAAGAAACAGATGCATAAACACACATTACTGCTACATTAAGGCAATATGAAAAGTATAGTCAGAAAATTTCAGTAAAGTGACAGTGTACTTTTCTAGCTTTGATTAAGCCAGTATTGCACCCAAACACGGTTTCTAGTTCCCTCTGCACCCTGGAGAACACACTAGGAAACCAGAGCCCAAAATGCCCAAGTAGGAGGGGTGGCATATAAAAGCATTTTAGCAGGAAATGACCTAGCCAATAAAGACGTTAACTGAAGAAAGCATTTAGAATTATACACAACCCTTATTTTAGGAATTAATGGTACATCTTTTAACAGTTTTAAAATCAGTCTCCAAAAATAAAGCCAACTTAAGGGGAGCTGACTGCAGCTCCCAAGACAACCAGCCAAGTTGTATGTGGGAACCTGGGAGTATCTTGCCCACGGAGACCTGTAAATGAAGTCCCATAAGAGTGCCCCCATAGGACACTGCTGGTCAGGAGATTACCTTTAATACCTCAAGATTAACAAACTTGTCCCACCCATCCAAAGCTATTCTCTCAGAATTTTATTTATTTAATGGCATTCTGAGTTAAACAACTGCTTGATGAAGTCTTGTAACTTTAAGAACCATTTTTTAAAAAGTAAGTTCCAAGCAGTTTACTAAAAACAGAAACTATGAGCCATACTAAACTGGCAACTGTAAAAGCTAGTCTTACTACTAAAATAAATGGAGCAACTGTACTAAAAAGGATTTAGGGAGTGTAAAACAAAAGCCTCCATTTCTCTTGCAGGGTATATCACTACAGGTACACCACACTTCTCCAGGGTTACCTTTACCTAGCTTTGTGGCAACATCGCTGCGCTACAAGCTTACACATCATTCTCCGCTTAAGTAACATGAAGCGGTTACACTTCTCACAAGATGTCCCAAGACATTTTGGACATGCTGAACAAAGAATATTTATGTTAAAATGCAGTAATTTTGCTTTTGATTGTGGATAGGTGCCAGAGTGATTGCCTTTTTCACAATCAATGGTTGCATTTCATATTAGTGCAGTTTAAAGAGTATATGATGGGTTTAAAGTGTATACGTAGATCATATCACAGTCAGATTGAGGAGACTGGTGTGGGTTGGCAAGTACACATGCTGGACATGCTCTACACGAGATCTGCAAACAGGACATGACTGGAAAGGAAAAACATTAGGAGATTAGTTTACTTCATATTTTGAGAATCTCTGTAATTGAGACCTCCCACCATGCTTACAGTAAAAGAACACTTCTCCATAATCTCCATATTTAAAACAGGGTAGCACAAGAAACATGCAGACAACTCTCACACTCACCATAAGTTAGCACAGCTAACTTATCTTTTGAATGTATTATGTAAACAGGATGTTCTCTGTAATTAGTTCACTACAATTTTAAATGTAAGCTTTTCTAGAATATAGAATCATAGAATAGTTAGGGTTGGAAAGGACCTTAAGACCATCAGGTTCCAACCCCCCTGCCATGGGCAGGGACACCTCACTCTAAACCTTATCACCCAAGGCCTCGTCCAACCCGGCCTTGAACACTGCCAGGGATGAAGCACTCACAACCTCCATGGACAACCTATTCCAGTGCCTCTACACCCTAACAGGAAAGAATTTCCTCCTTATAGCCAATCTAAACTTCCCCTGTTTAAGTTTGAACCCATTACCCCTTGTCCTACCACTACAGTCCCTAATGAAGAGTCCATCCCCAGCATCCCTATATGCCCCCTTCAGATAGTGGAAAGCTGCTATGAGGTCTCCACGCAGTCTTCTCTTCTCCAGGCTGAACAGCCCCAACTTTCAATATAATATCAATGTAAACATATTACAAATATTAATCTGTTGACTGTTAAGTACACAGAAAACCAAAACTTCCACCTATTTGGTAACTCACACATTAACAGCATTGCATATTACCTGCAATTGGGCAGCACAGGTCTTGCAGCATACAGTGTGGCCACAGGGACAAAAGGTTGAATTTATTTCCTCTTCACAACACACCATACAAAGCATGGACTCCTTCAGCTTCCGCAGCTTCTCTTGCAGAGCTTTTGTTTGTTGGCAGCTAAGACCCTCACAATTATCACAGTTCATGCTACTTTCAGAAGACTTAAGAGGAGAACTTGGCGGGGTCTGGTCACTTCTTGAAACAAGATCTACAATGCCAGCATTATAAAGAGCTCGCCTTGCATGATCATAAACTTCTTTTGAAGTTCTTTTAATGTCAAAGACATATTTTTTACCAAGATTAATGTTCTCATTCAGGAATAGAGATGCTAAGTGACCCTTTAAGTCTCTACTATATTGCATCATGACAGCACTGGTGACAGTGTCACACCTATAAAAACAACAGGACAAACACAATCTTGGTTAGTTAATACCAACAAACCTAACTCCGCAATAATTTGTTTACAAAGTGAAGTACCAGCACTGAAATTAAAGCAAATAGAGCAGTCTGAGGCAATATTTAAGCTCTTGAATGTTGTTTGCATGACAACTCTACTTTGCAAAGTAACAGTTATTTTACATCTTAAAAAATGTGAAAAGTCTGATAAAATGGAGTCAGCCTATGGAAGGGACTTAGGCATTACGCTAACATAAACAGTCAACACTTGCTTAATCCACAGTTCAGCTTGGCAACACCTCTTTATATGGTAACTTCCAAACACTGTATTAAAGAATTCCAAGTCATAGTTTTTGGCATAACACCTCTTTCTTTAGACAAGCTCTCAAAAAAATTTTAGCATAGAGTCAAGCAATGTCTTGAACCAAACTTCCACTCAGTACTTTATATAATATTACATCATCTGAGGGGAACCAGTGTAAATGCAGTGTAGAGAATTATATTAAGGCATTTGTATTTGCCACCAAGTATTTCAGCTACCCATACACTGCTTTGTTACTTATTTAGGTGATATAGTTAACATCTGCAGAAGTCTGTTAAGGCATATCACTTCTGTAGACAATGTAGGAAAGAAAGCACAAACAGAACACAAGGATTACAGCCTCACAGAGCCTAAGGTCCAAGATCTAAGCTTATGACCAAATGGTATTACCCTGCTACAATTCTGCTTACATTAAAATCAGAAACTGCGAAGGACAGCAGAAGTCATAAGCAGAGACAAAGATCAAGAAGTTAAGAGTGTCTAAGAGGTTATAGAATGCTTTAATTGCCTGGAAAAAAGTATCACATGTGCAAAACCATGCAAGGCCATATAATTACAGAGCAGAACAAGACATGCTTAACAGTGGGCTCAAAATAAGTAGTAGTTAGCTGCTCATTAGCTGCAGTGGCTAGAAAGGCAACTACTTGGTGTTAATTGCTGTAACTGTATTAAAATAATCTAATTAGAGAAGCTGGGCAGGTCTTTGCCTCATGTATGTACTTTCCTCTGCCTTACTTCTCTTACAAAGCAATTGAAACTGATACGCAGTGGGTAGTTTAGAGGAAACAACACTAAGTGTCTTCAACAGTTAGTTCTACTGCTCAGTGTTGCACCACACACAAGGAATGAGAAGTTTAAAAACAAACAAAAAAAACAAACAGCAGCTATCAACAAATGAGTGTAGCATCCCTACCTCAAAGAATGATAAGATAAAGACAATGGATAGCTGCTGGCATGAGGCAAAATCCTGAGCATTTGAGGAAGGACAGAGAAATTGGAGGAAGATCTAAATACATGGGATGGGAAGGCAGCACACAGGCAACTTCTAGCAACTGGAAGAACCAAATACAGAAAAAACAGGAAGGGTATATGCATTCTGAGCAACACCTGCATATTCTGAAGGAAGTCATTTTTCTTTTCCTTTCTTATCTTATTCTCCCTCTAACACAGACAAAATGTATGTATTCTTTATGAAGTATCAAAGAACATGGTAAGTTTATATTCTGAAGTGCTGCTACTCATAATGGTAGACAGACCTTTTGCTTACTTGCCTTGTACACCCACCCCACAAAACTGAAAAGAGCAAAAACCTGTTCAGTTTCTGCACTTAAAGGAGAGGCTACAGAGACAATGAAATTTTGCAGAGGAGTTTTGAAGTACAGACTGCTGGCTGCTTAAGCACTTAATTCAAATACTGTGGAGAAGAACAGCAGCAGCTGACTAGTGGCAATACTGACCTGTAAAATGCATGTGTCTCTGTAATTGCTCTATAGAGTCCACTTGCTGCCCTTGTACTGATCATCTTAAACAAGAGTACTACACTATTACCAGACTCCTTGGTAATAGTCAGATATACATTCTTCCCAGATTGAGTTGCCATTTGAACAACAGGATAAGCAATCCTATAAATGAATATAAAAAAAAATAGGTTATTTAGCTTTTAAGGATAAGGGCATTTTCCATAAGCTACACTATGATGGACTTGGTATCAGAAGTTATAATGATCTCCAACTGTTGTCTGTGATGCTGGATTGAAGATGCTGCCTCAGAAATACTTATAAAAATCAAGAGTATTAAGGCCAGTTGTCATCATGATTATAAGCAGGTAGTACCCTCAGACCCTGTGTTCCAATAGCTCCCTTCAGTAATTCACAGTGCAGTATTTATGTTTATGTAAGTACTAAAGGCATGCTCAGTACTTCTGAAAAATGGAAGATGACAATGGTTCCACAAAATACGCACCTGTTGATAGGACTGAAGTCATCTTTACAGATGGATATGCCTTCAGGTCCAACACCAATAAGGAGTTTTTGCCCTTCACTATCTCTCACTGAGTGCCACTCTACCCCGTAATTCTCCAGCGTTGTAACAATCTGTAGAATCTGGTATTCAGCAGAAGCTTGACTTAGACCTTCCAGCTCTTTATGCTTTGCAATAATGCTGTTGATAAAAAGATTAAGGATAGGTGAATTAACCCAAGTATGTGCTGCTATTTTCAGCAATTTGTTTTAACCTTTTTTTTTAAAATGACCTACGTAAGCATGTTATTAAACACTCCTAACATGCTTTATCTGACTACAACTTTCAGAAATCATGAACTGGAAAGACTTGAGAATTGCCAAAACATCCTGGGACTGTTCAGAGGACAATACTGTGCATTTGCTCAGAAATTAAAAAGCAACAATGCAATCAAGGCTTTACAACTAACAATCGCCCCCAACATATTTACTTGAGCAACCACGAAGTTCATTAACTAAATAAAAAAAATACTATAGAAAAACATAAGAAAGTTTCTTGATATTCAGAAATTGAACTATGAAGGTGTTCTGCGAACCCTGTGCACTTCTCAGTGTAAGCATACTAAGCCAGATAAATTCTTGTTTCTCTTCACAGGTGTAGGAATAAGACATTCAATTACCCTGCTCCAAATACTTAGATACCACTATTTCAGAGTACTAAAGGTTCAATAACATTTGCTTTCCACAAAAAAAAAAAAAAAGCCCTAATTCAAATAAGCTTAAAAATTAACTGAAATCAGAATGTTAGTTAAACAGTCAGGTTGTATTTTGATCTCCAAAGCTATCTATTTTTTTTTTTCTTTTTAACACCACAAGATACATTGTAGCATCAGCAATTAAGGGCATAACAAAATCTTATACTTTTAGTCTCCAAAAGTGAGGTTGTATCATTGTGCTCTTTTTACCTCTCCAGAATGGTAGTGGTAAGCTCTTTTGCACACAACTCTTCATAATTGTACTTGGCAGTGTTCTGGTTATAATCTCCAAACTTCATCTGTGCTAACAATGCACTAAGTTCAATTGCATGCTCTGAAGAACACTGAAGATTACCAGCAAGAAGATCTTCCTTTATATGCAGGAAAAACATATGCCTACAATGGAAGGAGAAACAAAGCATTAAAAGACAGTTGTAATCAAGATATGTATCAAATAACACCTCAGCTATGTTTCATATCATTAGTTTGTTAGTCAAGAATTTTCAATGAATGTACCAAGTGGGGGAAGTCTGGCACAATGGAAAGGAAAGGACCTCCATCATCTTATTCACTTACACTTAAAAGACGAGGCTACAACTGCGGACTGTGTCTAAAAGCACTATTTAAAAAAAAAAAGAGCACTTTAATGACATATTATTAAGAATAGGACCTGTTTAAACTCCTAAGGCCGGTTAGTAATTTCAACTTAGTGAGAAAAATATCAATGAAATGTATTTGATTGATTTCCTAAATTTAAATTTCTTTGGCTGCCATTTACCAGTTATTGTGCAGAGCAGCCCAAACCAGCACACAAATTCCTACCATGCAACAAGAGAAGCCATATTTGCTCTACACAGTGGAAGTACCTCTGCCACCACAGTCAAAGCAAAGATGGTGCTTTCACCAGTGGCATGATTAATAGGGTAACCCAAAATACCTGAAAAGGCATTGTGGAATCAAATTTTTAAAATGTACTAGTGTGAGCATATTTGTCAGTCCAAGCTTTACACTTGGGATCAAAGCAGGTTTAGCAACTAACTGGGAAATTCACAAAGCTGATCTTAATTATCTAATAGGTCAGTTAACCAGAGAAAGCAACATTTCCACTAACATTAAAAGCAGCTTGCTAATTTCCCCTATAGTCTACCTTAACTTCTGTAAATTCATCTTTATCTCCCTTTACGGAAGACAATATAAATTTCTTAGCATTTAGTTACAGAAACCAGATACAGAAGTGGTTACGTATCACTGAGAAAGATATCTTTCAACAAGTGAAGCCTTATACCCACAGGGATATGTCTTATCTTCCACAGTAATGCAACACTTACATTTTACTTTTCTAAAATTAAGTGTAATCTACTTAAAAAGCTATTTTGAATCACTTATCATAGAAGGAAAATTAATCATTTGCATCTTCAAACAGCAGTTTTGGATAATATCTTAGGTATATCCTGTAGTAGCACTCTACAGCTCCATTGTACAACAAGGCAAATGGGGCTACTTTTTCAGCACTATAAAGTGCTGAATCTGTGTTCATTTTTAGCTCTACTGTGGTAAATGCTGCAGCTAAAAAAATACTGCCCCCAAAATGCCCTCTACTGAGAGCTCTTGTATCAGGAAAAATTTATTAAATTATCCTGCCCTACAATCCATTTCCTGTAACAAGTCACAGCTCCAACACCTCTTTTACAAGTAGTTTGAGGCATGCTAGAGCTTCATTGCAGTTGTGACACAAGTGCTTAATTGCATCACTCTGATGTCTAGACACCAATCTACACACTTCAGCAGTTCTAGCAAGGGTCTGCGGGAATAACCTCCCTCTGTGCAGGATACAAGTTTAGGTTGCAAGAGGACTAGAACTTCAGACAGTACAATTGTCTCCACTGTTAGCAGGTTAGTTTTTTTTTTAGGATTTCTTTTGAGCAAGTCCCAAACCTCTGCTCCAATCCTGCTAATTCATAGCTCTCTTGGCTTGGGCCACAGAAAGGTACAGATGCAATTTTTTTTTAATGCATGCATTGTACACACTCCTTTTGGGGCTCAGTCCATAAATCCAGACGTATTTGATACCAAAACACCCCAGCCAAAATAAATTCAAGTAGTAGGCATTTCACCAGTTCCAATCAACATTTCATAAAATGGCTTTTCATACACTTTTGATCCTCTGTTAATATCAGAACAAGTTTTCCACTCATAACAACTATGTACTAATTACACACACAGCACTTCAAAGAAATATCTGTCAATTTTCTTCTCATTAGCTGAAACATGTTTACAACTACCACACCGAAATGCTTGTATCTTCAATTTTACACATACAACAACACTGACTACACAGGGAAAAATCAGTCTTCTCCCCTTGCTGGGAACACCTTATTGACATCAAGAGGGCAGGTGAAAAATAAAGAGATTGCTCCTGCAAATACAGATACATTAATTACAGAAACAACTACTGCAGAGGCATGGTTTCTCATACCCCATTACTATAAAGCCAGTAAACAGCACAGGTAGCCAAATGAGTTTAAGGCACAATGTAAAATAGCATCACATTAGCTAACGTGCAGTAACTTTCCAAAACTGGTTTATCTCACAGACTAAACCACTTCACTTTTTTTGTAATAATGGGGACAAAGGTACAGTACATGTAAGGGGTACTTACTGCAAATTAACTAAAGCTATGCAGGCTCATGTCCTGGCTTAACAAAAGAAATTACAATAGCATTAGGTCAGAGAAAACAAACCAATCCACCCATATTTAAAAGTCCTTCTCAAAAATCACTGGTCTGTACATAAGAAACCCATTGGTTTGGGCCCAAGCCTTGCCTAAACTGTACCCATGACAGGTCAGAAACTAGTTAACATTGGGCCTCCTGCCACTGAAATGAGTTTTTGAATGACACTGAATTACTTTACACTGATCTGCTACAGGAGTTGCCCTGAACCAAAGTTCAGGTAGGAAATTCACTGGCAAGCTTCTTTGTTTTTTATTGAATTCTTAAATGTGCTTGAGGAAGGAGAAGCATGTAGAAATTGAAACACTGAGGACTGCAAACAATTTGTACATCTGTGATTTTTGATCCTTAAGCCAAAAGGAAAAAGGAAAAAAGAAAAAAGGAAAAAAAGAAGTGCTTTTATTGCTGAATACAGTTAAGCAAAACTAAAGTAGTAGTAGCCTTGAGGCGGTTCCCTATCTAATTCTACGAAGTCTAAAATACCCAACAGATTGCTGACAGGAAATGTGGCCATGTTGTAGACTGTTAGTTACCAGAAAGTATTTATGTAAGTTTCTGTAAATTAGATTGTGAGCTACTCCCTTAACAGCACTCAATCCATTGTCCCTACTTTCTCCAGGAATCTCTAGGTAGAAATGAAAAAAATGTTAAAGCTTTTCCCAACTCGAAAGATACTCGGGTTGTACAGTAAAAGAGTAATCAGTTTTTGAAGGAATTGTTTTTGTGTTAGCATTTTACACTTAATGGATTTTTACCTAGAAAGTTTTAGAAAACAAACTTAAAACTGAAAACTCTACTGTTTATAACTGAAGTCCTCTACGGGTTACATTTCCAACACTGCTGGTAGAATGTCTTAGCTTGACCACCATGTAAGAAACTAATTGGTTTTGTTTGTGCATCATTCACCACTTCAGTTACAACAGATAATACATACATATCACATATAAATGAGAAGTGACTCAAGTGAAACAGCAGGTCTGTTTCCTACCACCACCCCAATATTCTCTTGGCACATACTGCAGCTTTGTACTACTCTTGCCAAAGTTTCATCTGATCTTTAAACCTCCATATAAAACAAGTCTCCACAACTCTGATCTTTGCCAATCAATTGTTGTGGCTTCTAGTAATTATTATTTTTTTTTTACACCTGCCAGACATGTTGCAACACTGCTCTTAAACCTCCTACTAGCTCAAACAGAACTTTCTATTGAACGTGTAGCCTGAATTCTACACATGACAAAGAGTCTATATAACCTAACTCAGATTTGGTTCCCCCCATGCTAGCTAGATATTCCTGTGTATTCAATTCTGGATCATTTCCCTTGAGTCAGGAGTTCAAAACAGTATGTAGAACTACAGATTAGAGGACAAAGCAGTAGGTTTCCCAAAGCTATACTTCATTAGTCACTACCCTGGCAGCATTTCCTCCTTTAATAAAGGGAAAAAAAAAAAAAGGCAGTTTTGAAATTAGAACAGGATCACATGCTTTCATCAAGCACTAATTACACTAGTGATTTTCTATTTATTTTGTATCCTTATTTTTGCTCCAGTGCTTTTCATACAGTTTATGCACATATTAAAATTCAGTAAAACCAAATGTACTTGTGTATCTCAGTTGCACATGAATTATTTGATACAAATGCTGTGGAAAGGGGAGGCTGCAAGGTGATTTCAGCAGACTTCACAAAACAATGCAGCTACCAAACCAGAGTCACAAACCTAGGTATTGCATCAATTGGTTTTTGGCTCCCTATGAAGCAATTTTTGCAGACTGACTATACTGAGCACCACTACACGAAACAAATATCAGTATTTCACTACAACTAAATGCTTACAGAAAGCAAATCACCTAGTTAGTGTTCACTCGACTGACTGGCAATAATAACCCCACAAAATAAGTACTATGAAAAGTGTAGAGTATACGTTAATACAAGATTAATTTCTCTTGAACGGCTGAGGGAACTGGAGTTGTTTAGTCTGGAAAAGAGACCTTATTGCTCTCTGCAAGCACATTAAAGGAGGCTTTAGTGAAGTGGGAGTCAGTCTCTTCTCCCAGGTAACAGCAGTAGGACAAGAGATAACAGCATCAAGCTGTGCTGGGGAAGTTTAGATTGGATATTAGGAAACATTTCTTTACCAAGAGGGTGCTCAGGCATTGGCACAGGCTGCCCAGGGAAGTGGTGGAATTGTCATCCCTGTAAGTCTTCAGAAACCGTGTAGGTGAGGCCCTCAGTGATACAGTTTAGTGGTGGTCTTGATCTTAAAGGTCTTTTCCAACCTAGTTGATTCTATAATTCCTCCTTAATTCATTGAAGACAGTTATGTGCACTAGCAATCAAAGTTCTGCACTGAAAACTTTGTTTCTACTACTTTTTTTAATCAAGGAAAGGAAAACAGGACAAATTAGTCTTTAGATTTCTGTTGGAAGTTTCAAGCTCAAACTTAGGTGTCTGAAGAAAAATATGAAACCCCCCCACCCTTTACCAATAAAAGCATCTGTATATGACTAGTGATTCCTAAACTAAAAATACAGCCAAAAGAACACATTCTTCTGCCAGGCTGCTGGCAAGAATCTTAGAATATGCCTCAAGGAACTGTTAGTTCTTTTGGGGGTCTGACACTGCTTACCACAGGGGAGGGCTCTTTCCTACTGTGAAGTAAATTTATGATGCTCTAAATTCTACAGGAATCCAAGTTTAGAAGCACAACTGTTCTCCCTAAAAATACATTGATAAGAATCTCTATAGAACATAACTGTGTTTTTAAAAAGCAGGTATCGGGACACTCCATATGAAAAAGCAAAGCCATCGCAGTTGCAATTTAACTCAGATTTAGATACAATCCATGAAACTTACCCTGGGGTCTATCACAGCAGACTTTTATTGCATATTAGCAGATACCATGACACTACTGCACTGGCTGGCTATTGCAACAGGATAATTCTGATTTTGCTACCTACTATATGCATCTAACTGCACATACCATAACTGTGTATTTTACAAGTGGTTCTTTATTTAACCAATTCATCAGTACAAGTGGATAACACTAAAAAAAAAGCAATGTATTTTGTAAATATAGTTACAAGTACTGGCAAACATCACACAGCTTTTAACAGCTTCCAAAACAATAACCGGGTATCCCAAGCCTGGCAAAATACAACTCTTTTGAATGCTTCATGAGACTGTGGCTTGGTAGAATCTGACATGTTACTTTAAACTGCCATGGCTCACATACGAATGTTTTGATTTTCGGTTATATTACAGAAGACATAACTTTGCCTGTCCCAAAAGCACATCTGGATAAATCCTACACTGCTCACTTTAAATGGTTTCTACTTTCGTGTGATCTCCGCACGCTGACTTCACCCCGCCAGACCTGAAGCCACTGTTGTCCGGTATGGCCGTAGGGTCCCTTTCCCCCGTGCGGCTCCGCAGACACTGTGGTCATTAAGGTGTGCGCACGGCCCGCGTCTGCCCGCTTCCGGCGGCAAGCCCCTCGCCGGGACGGCTCTGCCCCGAGACAGCGCCAACGGCCAATCGGCGGCCGCGCTCCTCTGCCTGCTGGGCCGCGCCCCGCCGCCGATTGGGCGGCCCCGCCGGGGTTACTGCCGGGCAGTGACCCGGAGTTACACCGCGCCGCACCCGAGCGGCACAGCCCCAGCTCTGCCCCGAGCCAGCGCTCCCCCCAAGCCGCAGCGGCTCCGGGACAGTCGAGTGAGTGCAGGGTAGTCACTCCTCCAAGCATCAGCTCCTCGCTGTAACTCGGTGTTCAAACTCGACACAAACACCACCCATTAATTATTCTGACAACCCCCCGACTGCTTACTTTTATTCTTCTAACTGTTGCATTACCTAGCAAGAAGTACAGAAAACAGTGAAGACGAACATGACATAAGACAGAGCTTATGATCTAGATGTTGGACCATCAAATGGATCTTTAAGCAAAGAGATAGCAGTCCTCTTTAAGCCAAGGCAATTTTCCATTCAAAAAAATGTATAGTTATTCAAACCGCACTAAAGCAGCACCCTGTTCCCATTTCAGACTTCTTTGTGAAACTGTAGTTGACAGCAGCAGATTAAATTTGAATAGCATTCTTGCACTGAAGCACTTTCATTCCACTGAGAACAATTTCAAACTAGGAAGTCCTGTGGTGAAGTTCAGTACCAGCCAGTCAAAAAAATTAGAAACTGAGATCCAAAGGACAATAGAAATAAACTAGTTTTAACCCTGTAAGGTTGCAAGGAGGCTTTTCCCCCATGCAATTCTCCCACTTGCAGAACATTTAGTGAAAGTGGTTTGTTGCCTTAGTGGTGGTCCAAGGTACAATTATAACCTGGCTCTGCCTTTGTATTCAGCATCAAGATAATTTCCTCTCAAGATTAAAATGCATGAGGTTGCCATCTTCCCCTGGACTGCACACCAATTGAAGATAACAGAGGCAGAGGTTAATGCTCCCTTGCCAGGTGAGCTTTTTGCCAAGCATGTAGAAACCTGAACATTTCCAGGATCTCTACTGAAGCAATACAACTAGGGCTGACAAAGCTCCTAAAGTACAGAGAAAAAACCTGGTAGCAACTTAGTCACAAGACTCACTATTATCTCATCATGACAATGCACATTAACAACATTTAGAATTACTTGCGATTTCACAGATTTCAAAAGCTGTCTCAACAGCCATCTGATTTATATGTATAAACAACACCAGAGTCTGCCTGGGAGCCTCAGTCTACCTTCTTCACACAAAGGACCAGAAGGCCACAGGAACACCCTATACACCAGTTGGGTACCCTTGGTTTCCTTTAGCAGTTCTGTCCACATCACTATTTCTGACTTCACAAGTAAAAGAAAGAAAGAAAGATGTCAGCTTAACTGTACAGCTAATCCTTGCAATTCTACGATATACCTGTTGATTTAAAGTTCAGTCATTGGTTTAACAAGTTTTTTCTTCTCTTTCATACCACACATGCTTACATCCAAACTAAAGATGAATGCAGAGTTATGTGCATGTGTAAATTTTCAAGCAGACCTGAGTAGGAAAAAAGCAAGCCTACCAAAACTCTCTGTCAACAGCACTGAAACAGATATTAACAACAGGCACAATGGAATTCTGTGTCTGCTACATGCAGAATACTGGGCATACACAACTAAAAGGCAGCTATTGCAAGTTACTTTACAACTTGTATTTGTTTGTAGAAAACACTAAAAATACTTAGGATGTAGGCTGAACACAGCTTAGCTGAAGCCTCAGGACTATTTGTTTGCAAGACAGAGCGACATTAAATACTACCTTCAGTGCTTGTTGCTCTCCAAAATGATAAGCAATTATTTCCATAGCAGAGTTTTAATAATATATTTTCTGATGCCTGAGCCTCAATTACTCTTAAAATTGTTTGTTAAAATTATTAGTTTTAGAACTGTCTTAATTCATACATGAAAGACAGCTTGTCCCACCCATAATCTTTCAAAGTTATGCTTGTAGTGGAGAAAGTGTATACTTGCTACTTTGATGTATGCACAAGCTCTGTTAGATTCTAGCTACACAACCCGTCTCTTAGGCCCTTGGGGTGTGTTTCACCAGTTCCAGCACCCTATTAATTTACACAACCTGCCAAGTCTTGCATTTACAGTGTTGAAGGCAGGAACACAGGTGTCTGCAAAAACCTTGTAAAGTTGAACAAACATTCATCAAGGACACCATAAAAGTGTCAATCATATCAGCTTCAGGTTTCCTCAGATTCAGCCTCATTTGGTGGGTGCATGAAGACACATCCAAAATGCTCAGGGTAGTCTCTTCTGCCTCATCAGGTAAGAAATTAGGTTGCCCCTTTTAAGAAATTAGGTACCCTTTTGTTCTACATAAAAATAATTCATTATTTGGTTTTACAGTTATTAAGAATATTTAAATGAGGACAAGTTTCTCTAAAGAAAATACACAAAAAGAACCCAGAGATATGCCATGGACAGCAGAATCTATTTTTCCAAAACAAGGCACATCAAATCTGGAATTTGATTAGCATATATTTGCTTCACTAAAGCTATTATATAGGACAACTACAGTCCGACTTCACAGCGTTCTGAAAACTTCAACCACATTGATGAGCTGAAACCACTGCTCTCCAAAAGCCACTCCTCTGCACACTGATTCAAAAAGTAAAACACATGCATGCTCTTAGCTCTAACACTTTCTTCATAGAAAGCAAAACAAAAAACAAAAGCCCCACAAAAACAAAACAAACTCCACCAAAAACAAATGAACAAAAACAAGAAAAAACCACACATAAAACCCCAAAACAAACCAAAACCACAAATACACCAAATCAGGCTATCAGCCTCTGACCAAATTCTTTAGCCAAATATTTTGTGCATAACAACTGTGTCATATCCATGGTCTTAACCATAAAATTACCAAGTTAAGGTGTCCTGGCAGGGAATTGGAACTATATGTTCTTAAGGTCCTTTCCAACACTAACCATTCTATGGTTCTAAGGTGAGTAGTGAAAGCACGTGTTAGCATTATCATCTTATAGACACTAGAATCCAAGTGGTCCCGTTTATATTAACTTTGCTATCTAAAACTAACAGGAAAAATTAATTGAAAGGTCAGCATTAAATACAGATGTGCATGGCTCACCTAATCTTTAAATTCATGTGGCACTTAAGGAGCAAAAGCAAGTGTTCACTACTAATCTTAGAAGACCTGGGATTGACTAACAGTGAAACAATTTAGGTAAGAGGACTGACCACAGAAGAAGCAAGACAGCTGTTTCTTTCCTAGCCTCAAAGGGCCTGTAGCTATTTGAAAGTTACTGTAACATAAAACCAGACAACAAGGAATTCAGCAAGTTTTTTTCTCTGTGGGAGGAACTGTTTCCTGCTTTTCTGTACCAGTGGTTTAGAACGACCTCGAGTAACACCACTGAGCAGGGGTTACTATCGGACACACAAACACCACATAAATAATTTGCTAGTGGTAGCTTAATTTCTACCACTTCAGCACTAAGTGCTTATACAATTACCTACACTCATTACTTACTGGTAGCTGCACAATACTTAAAGTATTAACAGTTTGGGTTTTTTTAAGCAAAAAAAGGAACAGTGCATTTAAATAGCACTGAGGGTTTTAACTACACAGAAAAGCCAAACAAGATTACCAGAAGATGAAAGAAAACCAGTGCATAATCACTTCCATAAGTTACAGAAACTGGAAACTAAATAATAAATTAAATCTACTTACAGCCATCTTTACCTTACCTTGTCTGCTCTTGTAAGATAAGATGTGGCTCAACAAAAAATTTGACTCTTAATTTCAATCGATAAGGGGCTAAACCATCCATCTGCTGGGAGATTCTGTTCCTCAAATTCAGCCACAGATTCTCCCCTTTGCTGCCAGTGAACTGCAGTCCAAAATAATCAACTTCTATAATTCCCAGTCTTCTGCAAACCTGAAAGAAAGAGGTTCTTTATTGTGGGGAGTGAAGAAATGCCACACTTTGTGAAGCTACAACATAAAAAATATCAATTTAATCAAGTACTGTTTCAGACTGCTCACTTAAGAGCACACACAAAAATCCTACTCTAAGCACCTTTACACAAAAGATTTATTACTTGGCTTTAAAGTTGCATACAAAACAGCATGTAGGCAAGTATCAAGAATAAACTGGGAATTTCTCCACTAGCAGAAACCCACATGGAATTTTATGGCCAAATTCCATCCTCCTCGCATCACACTCCCCCAGTCCTCTCGCCCCCAGGACAGGCACTTAAGAGGGTCAGTGGATTTCCGAAAGAGGCAAGTATCTTGTCATTTAGCATCACAGCCGATAGCACTTCCTAGGCGAGGAGGAGAAAAAAGTACAACCCACAAGTTTTATTTAGACGCCACCAACAGACTGGGCTGCTACGCTCGACTCCATCCTCCCGGCAGCCGCCGCAGCCACATCGAGGCGGTGGCCACGGACGGGCGAGAGCTCCTGAACTACGGCTTCAGCCAGCACAGCCCGAACAGGCCACCGGGACCAACCCGGCACAGCCGGGGCAGCATCACCGGGGCCGGGTGGGTTCCACTCGTGTGTGTCTCCCCATCGCACCGGGGAGAGCGAGCGCAGGCTGCAGCGATGGGCCAAGGCCTGCCCTTAGAGGAGGTGGCGGGGCCGGATAGCCCCGAGGAAGGGGATGCAGCAACCTCTGCATCCAACATGGAGAGGAAATACAAAATAAACGAGGAAAAGAAAAAAAATCCCAAAACATAAAAATAAAAGGGATGGGGTGGGGGGGCTGCGTCGGCTCCCCGCCCCCACCGCGGGGTTGCGCCACGCACGGCCCTGCCAAGTGCCACCACAGCCCTCCGCGGCCGGGCCGCCGCGGCCGTGCCCCAAGCCGCCGCTGTCCCCATGCCCACCCGCCACCCCTGTGCGGTGAGGCGCGGCCGGCGGCTCCTGTGCGCATCCGTCAGGCACCAACGGTCTGGGCTGCCCAAAGGACACCGTCACCAACCCCCCGCACTCCTCCTCGAGCCCTCCCTCCTCTGGCAGCGCGGCGCGGCCCCTCACCTGGTTGAGGCAGTCCTCGCCATTGGCTTTCGCCTCTACCTCCACCTCCATCACCACTGCGTCCGGCCTGGTCACATAGCACAGCATGGCTGAGGGAGCTGGTGGGGGACACACACAGCCAGCGCCGCCGCTGCCACGGACACCCCGAGTGGCTGCTTGCTGCCCGTGGAGAACCCCAACTGTCGCTACAGGCTGACGTACGGAGGCGCTCCCGACAACCGCCTGCCCACACCCGGACAACGCCAGCCGGCGCCCTGCCCGCCAGCCGTACCCGCTCCCCACTGCTTGCGCTCCCCCGGCTCCGCTCCCTCCACATATACCCTCCACTCCCCCTCCCCTCTCCGAGCGGCACCTGCGGGACCAATCACAAGGCGCCGCTCGCCGCTGCGGGCCGCCGACGCCACCAATCAGCGCCGCCATCCCCGGGAAACGGCGGCGGCAGGGAGGGCGTTTGTTGCCGTCGCTCTCTGGCGCCCCCTAGCCGTAGCGCAGGGCCGCTGCCGGGGCTCCCCGTGCTCCCCGGGGCGCCGTGCCTGCCCGTGGTGGCTTGACCCCCCGGGGAAGCCGGGCCTCGGGGCCCTCTTCCGCTTCAGCACTCAGCGTTTCCAAGTTACCTTCAACCATCGTCACCTGCAACAGCCCAGAACTTCTTGCCCTATTCTTATGTCCGGTTAAATCAGAGCAAAGGAAGTTCTACCTGAAGGCAGCGACCAATCCCACTTGGCAGGGATTGGCTACAGAATTAACGTGAGAGTGGGTGGCGGTGAGCTATGTGACAACCAGCTATCCTGCGTCTCATCGCTAGGTTTTGCAAACACCTTTTTCATTGAGTGGAAAATAACATGCAGATTAGTGCTTGATCTCCCATGCATGCAAAGCACTGGAAATGTGGAAATTTTAAGAAAGATGGGTCAAGTGGTACTGCAGCCTCCATGCACTGTCATGCTAACGGATGATGGAGCTTTCAGACTCATTGAACTTTGTAGGGACAAAGTTTGCAGGTGATTCCTGGCCAGGGGAGAAACACCTTCCCCAGGCAAGCCCTTTAGGAGTATTTGTTTAGCAAACGTACCCAAGGTACGTAAAATAGTTTATGGGTACTTTAACAATGTAAATTGAAACAACAGGGAGGACTAAGTACAAAATGCACCCTATGTAGGTTCCGTGAAATGCAGAGAAAAGAAGTACAGAGCAGCACAGTGTTGAGGACCAAGTAGGCTGTCAGGGGAAGTACTACAAGATGAAATGGGTATCTGAAAATGCAGTAAAAGATAGCTGAGAGGAGAACAAACCATAGAATTAATGCAAGGTTACAGTGCTGAATACTACCTTGTTCCTCTGTGTATGGGTTTGGGTCACTTGCTTCTTTTTGGGTATTTCTTCTGTGCTTGTCAGGGTTGTTAGTATTTTCAGTGTGCATTAAAGGAACTCCCAGAAGAGATGCTCATTCTTCTGGGAACTCTGCAAACATGGTTTATGGGAGTCTATCCATTTGTCCATGTAAACTCTAATTAGAAGACTTCTCAGTTCTGAAGAAGGAAAAGCAGTAGAAGGAAAATAAGGTTCAGAACATGAGATGTCAAACCTGAACAATGCTGCATTTCACCTGTACGCTTATTAGCTGAGATTTTCATGCTCAGGTCTATAGCGTTTAATTTGAAGAGCTTCGGGTCTCAAAAGACCAGACTCAAAGAGTGAAGGGTAGAAAAAGGGAACTAACATGAAAGAAAGAAGAACCCAATTGCAAAATTATGTTTACTCTGTGATTATTTTTTTTTGGGGGGGGGGGTGGGCAGAAGGGAGGGTGACTCTTTTTAGGAGGGATCAGCCACTAATAAAAATATCACCAAATATTTTAGTATGAAAAAAGGCCTGTATTCTCCACTTTTCTTTAGTTTCTGTTGGAGCGAATGCAGGAAATAAGATTTTGGATCTGTTTTCAGTTACTTCTATATATTGCAGTTTTATGTTACTTTGTGTGATTTCTAAATTTCTGTCATAATCAAAGGAGTCCTGGAGTTGTTAGGAAGAAGAAACACAAGAACTGCTATGATGACTCATGCCATTAGTATTCTGATATCCTCTCTCTGACAGCAGCTCAGATCAGATGTTACAGAGGAAGGTGCAAGAAATCTTTATGTAATTTGAGATCATGTGCTTATACATTCTCTCTACCACTAAACAGTTAAAGCTGGCTTATACCTAATAGGTTAGCCTTTACTTATTTATACATGATACTTGTATCCTAGGGATCAGTTCACCTGGTGCTAGGCATTCTCCAGATAAATAGAAACAGATGGTTCTTGTCCCAGAGATCTTACCTTTTCTCTATATATGAATATCCTTTCTGAGTTTTCCTTTTATCTCACTTAATATAAATGCAGGTGTTCTTATTATGTCTATAAAAGTGTTATCCTGCTTTGAAATCTGCTGAACTATAAGACACTAAAGTAGCTTGTGGCAGTAAATTGCGTAGACTGGTTAAGCCCTGTGTACAACAAGCATTTCTTTCTGAGGGTGTCATCTGGACACCGCTGTTATGGAAATACATTCCATTTCACAGCCTCTCTGTGATATTTTATTCATGCTGTACAGGAGAGAGTAAAGGACCAAGCCCTGTATTAGCACACAGGAGACAGCTCTTGCGACAAGCACGCATTGCAACCCTTTGGGCTTTGAGAACTGAAATGTCTTAACAGTCTCCTGCCTGGTCTCTTTGATGAATCAACAGCACTCAGTGAGGTACACTGTCAAACTGCTCATAACATGGAAAAGTTCACCCTTCGTGTATCATAAAAGAGCATTGTTTACCAACTTGTCACCTCAGTGCTTTATGTCACGAAATGCTATATGCTGTACCACAGTAATACCTCTCTGATGAGTCAGTCTTTTCCTATTGTACCAACTTGCACATAAGTAGTTCACCTTATATACATTAACTTTTTTTTTTTCTTCTTTTTTCTTGATGTAATCCCTCTACAAAGGTCATTTTTGGTCACAACCTACTTCACATAGCAAATATTAGTGGTAGTACCTCTTTGTCTGACCTTTGAATGGAAAGCCTGTGAAAAGTCCAATTGTTTGGGGAAGAACTGTTGGAATAATAAGTTCCAGACCTTTGAATTTAGTCCCTAACATGGCAATATTGACCTTTGTTGCCAATAAAGGCTAATGCTGCCTCTTGTGCAAATTTTTGTTTGCAAGGTTTCCCAGGTAGTTCTGTCCAACCTATTGCCATGATACCCCATCTTGTGAGGTATGTAGTGTGTGTAGTTATGGTCTCATTACCCAAATGTTTATACAAAATCTCTAAGATTCTCTCTTGTGTTGCTTGTTGCCCGTGGTATTGATCCTGATCAAACCAGGATAAGTTACTGCTAGAGAATACTATGCTATAAGGCAAAAGGTTAGAAATGCTCAGCTCCTGCATGTGCTCAGGATGAGGCTTCATCAAGTATTTAGAAGGACCTATCCTTTACCTTTACTGTCCTTTGGCGGCAGTCATATTAAAGGCATGCATGGAAGTGCCACGTTATCCCAGCTATTGTTGCCGAAGTTGTGCTCTGCAGACTGTGAGGGAGTAAAATTATGAGCTTCTGTAGTCCTATATAAAAGAGCAGCCTGGCCTTCTCTGGGAAAGCTGAACATGAACAGACTTCTCACAGTGCTGTTTGTGTGTGGTGCCTTTTGTTCCAGCAAGAATGAATGGTTGCATGAGAAAATATTTTTAGTTGTAATCCCAGTTTATATAATAATCAGAAGCAGAATGAGGATGTAGACCCTGACTTTCTGTTTCCCTACTCTTGTACCCTGTATGGGCATTTCTCCTGATCTGATTCATTGCTTTCCCATTTTTATTTGGTTTGCATGGGAGATATTATGTAGGTTTAAATGCATAGCTTGTTAGGCTATCAACAGATTGTTGGGTTACCCCCACACCCATTGCCCAAGAGCCATGAAAGGCCCATCCTCATGAGTCCGGGGAACACAGTGGCAGGAAGGAACCCAAATCAAAGCCTAAGAGGAAGGAAGACCCTGTCTAATCATCTCCCAGGGCTGTCCCTGCAAAGCCTCAGGCCCCGTATCTGGGTGTGAAACCCACCCCCATGAGACATGGGAAGCAGCTCTCCAAGTTACCTCCTGGTCTAAGGGGGGTTGCCAGCTGGGGGTGTGGAACACATGAGGAAATGTAGGGCAAGAGCTTTTGGGCATTGCATAGGATTTATTATGGGATGATCTTAGGGTCCTTTCCAACCCTAACTATTTTATGATTCTATGTTTAGGGGAGGAACCAAAGGTAGGACAAAGACAGGATTTAAGAGATTTGGGCAGTAACAAGTGTGGGATAAGGGAATAAAAGAGTTCATCTGTGTAAAGGGCTGGCCGGTCAAGATGCTTGTCTGGCGAAGCCCTGTATCTCACCAGCACAGTCTATCCTGTCTCCTTACTAAACTCCACCTTCATCTGTTTTCCAGTAAGGAGCTCTTTACTCCTTGTGTGTGTGGGATGGAGGTTGGTCTGTGATGCAGGAATGAGTGTGGGTCTGATTGCTAGCAAAGATGTTACCAGATGAGCCAGTGAGTAGATAAAGTGGGCTGGGGGCCAGGATGGGTTTGGAGATCTCTGAGGGCCACCTCTGGGTGTGAGAGTAGCTGCATGTCTGTAGGTACAAGATCACAGGGGGGTGGCTATTTGGAACAGAGGAGTCCTGGACACCTCCGTGTGTGTGTGTGTGTGATGGTCTGTACCAGCAGCTGGAGTGGGGCTGCAGCCTTGAGAGATTGTATGCCAAGGTAGCAGCAAGTGGGGAGAAAGGGATCCAGGGATGGCTATTTGTTGTGGTTTAAACCCAGCCACACAGCTCGTTCACTCACTCCCACCCCTTCTTGCCCTCCCCATACTCCCGGAGGGATGGAGAGGAGAATTGAAAAGAATGCAACTCCCACAGGTTGAGATAAGAACAGTTTAGTAACTAAGGTATAACATAAATCACTACTGCTACCACCAGTAATAATGATGATAAAGGAAATAACAAGGGAAGAGAATACAACACCTCAGCACCAGCCAGCCGATAACTCACCCCCCCAGCCCTACCGAGCACCGACTGATATTTCGTCCAACCCTCCAGTCCTTAGCCCTTCCGGGTAACTCTCAGTTACATCCTGGGCATGACGTGCTGTGGTATGGAATACCTCTTTGGTCAGTTTGGGTCAGGTGTCCTGTCTCTGCTTCCTCCCGGCTTCCGCTCCTCCCTGGCAGAGCATGAGGCTCACAAAGTCCTTGGTCAGACCAAACATTTGAGC